GACAGCAGTAAACCTGAAAGTCAGGATTCCTGTTCTCGGGGGCTTACTTCATCATCATCGTCGTCATCGTCGTCATCATCATCATCATCATCATCATCTTTATCATTATCATCATCATCACTCAAACAAGAAACACAGTAGCCTAATTACTTTCGGAAAGAATCCTAATTTGTTGGTTGATATCATATTTTAAGAGTCAACCACAATATTTAGCATTCAGTAAGGATAACCAGCCCCAACCTGTAAGGGAGCACCATCGCGATGTCAACAGGCTGAGTTCTCCTGTGGACAGGGTTTCTGGCAGTTAGCTGTAGGAACAGAAGGAAATGCTTCACCTGCTCCTGCCTGAAACAAGACTTGAGGTTAATCCTCATGCATATACAAAAATGACACCCTTAGCCTTCCCTTTTTAGCCTTCCTCCCTACAAAAATATGGCAACAAGTAATCTAATACTTTTATTACAAACCTTTAAGTTTTTAGGTAACACATGCATAGTATAAATAAATTAGAATATATAAATGAGCAGAGAGGACCCAAAACTTCATGAATCCAATACTCAGAGATAATCACTGTTAATATTCAGGGGCAGGGTATATCCGTACTTATGTCTTTATAGCTATATCCATATCCATGTCGATTCCCAGAATTTCACTTCAGAGCTTGAGTTTGAATTATCTCAGTATAATCAACTACATGGTTGTTATCACATTCCTAAATGTTTCTTGCCCCACCTAGAAATGGAGGTGACTTACACTGTGCTATCAGATAACACAACCCTGGCTGAATCCATCACACACTGCCCTGCTCCCCTACAACCTCACCCTGGACAGAACAGCCCAGCAGGGCGTGGGTCCAGGGATGCACCACCTGGAGACCCGAGCCACCAGCAACAACACCACCTCTGCACCCTCCACAACCATCACGGTCCACTTCATGAAACCTCTGCCAGGGCCGCAGGCCTCCTGGGCTTCTGACCACTTGGAGCTTGGACAGGATCCACTGGTCAACATCTCAGTGGCTCATGGCATCCGAGAAGAGTTGACCTTTGAGGCAGCAGGACTCAATGCATCCTTCTCCCATGAGGAAGAGAGCCTTGGGCGGCCATCTGGGATTTACCATGTGGCAGGTCCTCTTGAAGGTACTTGGGATTGGTAGCTCCCTTCTAAATCTCCTTCCTCTTCCCTTCCTAACTTTGAATCCAGGCTCCTGCCAGCCAATTTCCAGGGTGTCCTGGACACAAGCATGGTTAAGAGCATCCAACCTGAGTCACAAAACCAGACAAAGACAGATATTATCTGTCCTCATGAGCGTATTGTGACAGGAGTTCTCAACTTTGGCACTTCAGGCATTGGGGACTGGATCATTCTTGGCTGTGGAGGCTGTTCTGTGCATTATAGGATGTTTAGTAGCATCTCTGGCTTCTATTCCTTAGATGCCAGTAGCACCAGTCTCCCAAGTCTTGGCAACCAAAAACATCTCCAGACAAAGCCAACTGTCCCTTGGGGAACAAAATCACCCTCACTGAGAACCATTGGGGGAGAGCAGGAGTATTCCAATTTCTTCCATCATTTCTAGAAAATAGTGTGTTGGGAAACTGCAGCCCATGCCCTTAGGGGCAAGAGACGTAAACACTGAAGCATGAGAAGAGAAGAGAGAGGGACAAGAGAAGAAGTGTCATAATTCTTACTGGAATAGCGACAGGGCAACTGACTGGCTGGCAGACAGACTGGCTGGCACCAGCCAGGGGAGGAGATCACACATACATTTGCATTTAATATAAAAGAACAGGGTCCTTGAGGGCAGTCAGGTTAGCAGGCAGGAATGTGATGAGGGCCCAGAGTCTCCAGCTCACCTAGGACCCTGTCTACAGCATCCTCTGCCCTCAGTCTCAGAGGTGTGCAAAATAGAGGGTAATATTATGCAGGTGTAGGCCTACCATGCTGTCAGTAAGGGATTTGGCAAAAGAGATGACAGAAAAGACAATAGATTCAAGAAGAAAAACATAGGAACTTTGCCAGATAACAAAAGTCCAGTTTGGAACAGGAAGAAGCCAAAATGAAATGATGATGGAAACTATACATAATAAATAGACTATAATTCAAATGCAAATTAATTTTTGTCTCCTATAAAAGTTACTCAGGGGATAACAGATAAATTTTAAGCATGCCCTGTGACTTTATGGCTTACTCTTAGATCAGGGGTGGGGAACACCCAGCCCGCTGGCCATATAAGGTCCACAAAACCATTTGGTCTGGCCCTGCCAAGGCATTAGGGGTAGTTAATTAAATGTTTGACCAAAGATAGCAGGCTAATTTTGTTGTTGTTAATCCTCATCTGAGGATATTTTTCCATTGATTCTTAGAGATAGTGGAAGGGAGGGAGATAAACAGAGAGAGAAAAACATCTATGTGAGAGAAACACATTGATTAGTTGCCTCCTGCATCTGCCCCGACTGCGGCTGGGGATCAAGCCTGGAACCCAGGTATGTGCCTTTGACTGGAATCAAACTTGGGGCCTTTCAATTCATGAGCCGTCACTCTATCCAGTGAATCAAACCAGCTGGGGCAGCAGGCTAATTTTTAAGTTGATAATTTTGTATGGCCCACAAATAATGTTATAAATATCCAATGGCAGTAAAAAAGGTTCCCACCTCTGTCTTAGAAGGAAAGCAGTCTTCTCCCCACAAGAAAAACAGACTTGGATGACTCCAGTGATGAAGGGGGCGAGGAGGAAGGCAAGGGAACAGGTAGGACAGGAAGGCTCTCACTTGGAGAGGTTGGCCCAGTCCTGGCTGGCCTTGGTCTCAGGGCCCACCACATATTTGCAACTATCTCTGTAAGAGCTTCTCTGGGCTCTCAAGGCCCCAGGCTGCGGGCTGCGCCCCTCTGCTCCAGGGCTGGGTGCCACCTCTCCTTCAGCTGGTCACATCCTCCCACATGCGTCTTTCTTTACTACCAGAGAGGTGTCTTTAGCTCACTGGTAAACATAATGGTTTGCTTTTGATCATTCCCCTATGACCTGAATGTTCCCTAAACCATTTCCAAAGACAGGCAGATTCCCCAAGATCTTCAGCATACCTTGTGACTTTGTCCTTTGGCAACTTTATCAATACCACCAAAGTCTGACACCTGTTCCAACTGTGTTCACAGCTCCTTCCAGTCTCCAAGAATTATCTGGAACAAATGCTAAGGAAAAGAATGTGAGTATTTATAAAAACACTTAACCTCACAAGAAAAAGATGTCCAAGCACTCTGGTTTTTTTGGGGGGGGTGGGGGGTTGTTTTTTGGTTTTTTTGGGGTTCTGGTTTTTCAGAACACTAGGAATCACTGATATTTCTTCTGCTTGAAGAGAGACCCAGATCGATTAAAATTAAACAAAGCATGCTATTTGTGTTATAAATCAATAGTAAGATATCTAGGATATGTACATATCTTTTAGCCATCTTGGAAATTAAACATCACACTTCTAAAAAAATATTAATGGGTAAAATAAAAAAAACACAAGGAAAATTTAAATATATTTTTGAGTGATAATGACCATACAACCTACCCAAATTTGTGGGATGCAACCAAGGCAGTGCTCAGAGGCAAATTTATTTCTTTTAATATGTATATTAGAAAATAGGCTTGCTTCTTACAGGGCTTTGATATTTCATCTTCAGTTAACACTTTGAGATGAGATCTGCCTCTCTTTTCTCATTAGCTATTATAATTAAAGTACTACTGCTTGGTCCCAATTCCATGATAAAAGTGCATTCATGGGCAATGTGATGGTTTTTATAGCAAGACTAAGTCTTTGACTCCTTGCTGTTGACATTGCTCATGCATGCATTTATTCAATAACAAAGACTTACTTTGCATCTACAATGTTCAAGGCTTAGTATTAGGGGCTGGAGATACAATGGTGAATAAAAAGACATGATCCTGCCTTCATGAACCTTACTGGGTGAGATTAACAAACAAATTAGCATATAACTAGGAATTTTGATATGTCTAACTAGAACCAATAGGGTGCAATGAAAGCAACTAACAGAGGGTGATCTAGCAAATGTGATTAGATAAGGACCTTTTTTAAAATTCTTTATTGTTTAAAGTATTCCATATGTCTCCTTTCCTCCATTGACCTCTCCCTGGACGTTCCCACCCCAGATAAGGAGTTGTAAGAGGTGACATTTAAGGGGGAAACTACTGGAAAGTAGAACAAGAGTTTTCTGGGTGCATGGATTAGAGGGCTCTGAGGCCTGTGTGGAGGAGGGAGAGGATGTAGAAGATAACACAGAGATGGACAGACATCAGATCACATGGGGTCTAAGGTGCCAAGGCAAGAGGTTTTGGGTTTTATTATCAGGCCATGGGAGACCACTGGTGTTGAATTCTGCTGTAGCCTCATGTTATTCCAGGTCAAGCCCTATGAGCATAAGCTGTTTAACAGGTCCTTCCAGAACTGACTCCAGGAACACACTGTATGCTGGCTGATCCCTCTTCTTAGAATCCACATGCTCTCCATTGTTGCCAGCTCACCTTCACTCCTCCTCACAACAGTTCTCTTTAGGGTCCAGTCCTCTGGGGAAGCTTGCCCTGATGCCAGCTGTCTGCTTTGTAGAGGCAACAGCTCGGTGCCCTCCTCTGTACTAGACACAAGAGGAAACGCATCACTAGTGTCTCTCATTTGATCCACAGCAATCCCGGGAATCAGATGTTATCAAACCCTCAGAGGGACAGAAGCTAAGAGGTCTCAGGGCCAATGATTCAGCCTGAGATCTGGCTGCCCCAAGGCCTACATTCTTAACTTAATGCCCCCCTCTCATACATTCTCTTAATCTCCTGGGCCCCCTCTTCTGCAGCAGTGAGTACTCTGTGTTTTAATCGTTTCCTTGTCTGTCTTCCCTACTAAATGGAAGGACAGAGGCCTGGTCTATATTCCTGTTTGTCTAGGCATCAAGCACGGGGCCTGGCTAGAGCAGGTTCTGATAATGCAGTTGAACACATGGTGGACCTTTAGCACTGAGCCCACATTCCAACTGAAGTTACTTACCCAGTGACCATCCCAAGGGGAACCAGGCAGATCAGACAAGTTCTGTCTCCATTCCACACCTTGGCACGATTGCTCTGAGGTAGAGAGTGGGATGCTAACTGTGGAGAAGTGTCTTACAAACCAGCTACTATTTCTGCAGAGAGATAAAGGGGATGTGGAGGTATATGTGGAACCTGGTCAGTATGTGGATCATTTCACGACAGTGACTCTGTGCTGGCTGGATAGTGACAAGGATTTACACTTCCACTGGTCATGTGGCAGGTGGCGTTAGAGCTCTGGAGCTGTCCTATTTCACCACAAAGTGATGGATAGAGGTTAGCTTTGCTGTTCTTTTTCTTAACCTTCACACCGGCATACTCATGCCTGACATTTTGTGTACACTGTATATTCCAGAGTCTGCAAATTCCAATGGAAATAAGAGGTAACAGTGAAAAACCAAGGTGGGGTTGGTCCTAGAGGCAGGCAACAAGGAGATGCATTTATCTGTAGAGAATTTAAGAACTATAACAAACCTGAAAGTCCGTCTGCTTTTGTATTATCACTACAAACAATGCCAGTGGCAAAATGCTCCTCCCTCTTTGGTGGGTCCTTCCTTTCACCTCCATGCCTTAGAACAGAGGTTCTCAACCTGTGGGTCGCGACCCCTTTGGCGGTCGAACGACCCTTTCACAGGGGTTGCCTAAGACCATCCTGCATGTCAGATATTTACATTACGATTCATCACTGTAGCAACATTACAGTTATGAATTAGCAACGAAAATAATTTTATGGTTGGGTCACAACATGAGGAACTGTATTTGAAGGGCCAGAAGGTTGAGAACCACTGCCTTAGAAGAAGAAAGTGATGAAGCATTTTCTGGCAAACCAAAATTTTAACAATAGTGCTTATTTTTAAGAAATGGTTGTCCTGGTCCTGGCTGGGTATCTCCCTTGGTTAGAGCACCATCCAATATGCTAGTTGCAGGTTTAATCCTGGTCAGGGCACATACAAGAATCAATCAGTGAATACATAAATGAGTGAAAAACAAATTGATGTGTTTTTTTTCTCTCCCTCTCTTTCTTTCCTCCCTTCCTTTCTCTAAAAATAAATAATTTTTAAAAGCTACAACAACAACAAAAGAAATGGTTGTCCTTTTCATAAGGATATATTCTAGCTACATACATATTTTTTAGAAAGAAAATGAATGTCATTCATACTGTACATATTTCATTTGCTACCCTTTTTTTTAAGCTGTTTCTTTTTTTTTAATATATTTTTATTGATTTTTTATAGGGAGGAAGGGAGAGGGATAGAGAGTTGGAAACATCGATGAGAGAGAAACATCGCTCAGCTGCCTCCTGTACACTCCCTACTGGGGATGTGCCCGCAACCAAGGTACATGCCCTTGACCGGAATCGAACCTGGGCCCTTTCAGTCCGCAGGCCGACGCTCTATCCACTGAGCCAAACCGGTCAGGGCTGCTACCCTTTTTAATTGAACAATATATCCTACATACTTCAATGTCACAGTACCTTTGTCTCCATCTTGATATTCATAGTAGTTTCATAATGGACTGTCAATTGATGCATGATCATTTATTCACGATTGCCTTCTTTTTGGACATTTTGGCCATTTTCAAATTATTTGCCTTTACAAACACTGTAATGAACATCTTTATAGCTGAATCTTAGTTTGTATCAGTGGCTACTTTCATAAATACATTTCTAGAAATGCAATAACTGGGTCAAAATCATGAAATTTGAAGGTTGTTATTTTTTTGGTTGGTGTTGTTAATCCTCACCTGAGGATATTTTTTCCATTGATTTTTAGAGAGAGTGGAAGGGAGGGGGAGAGTCAGAGAGAGAAAAACATCTATGTGAGAGAGACACATCGATTGGTTGCCACCTAAGTTACATGCCCTTGGCCAGAATTGAACCTGTGACCCTTCAGTCCGAGGGCCGAGGCTTTAACCACTGAGCAACTGGCAAGGGCTAAAATTTTAAGGCTTTTGACATTAATTATTAAGTGGTCAGAATGTCCTTTTGAGTATTAGTTCTTGTTATCTAAATTAACAAAGGATACCATGCAGAGTTTAGGTAATTGAGCTGATGACCTGACCACTGGACATGTCTTCGGAATGACTATCATATTTGGGGCAGGGGATAAACATCAATAAACAAATGTGAAGTGCAAAGAATACAGAGATTTACTGAGCTGATTTCATAAAGCAGAAAATGACATTGCAGCCTCCCAGATGGAGGGACAGCTCCCCAAGTCCCCAGTGCACCCCACAGTGACATACAGCTGTGGACAATTACTTCATGTGGAGTGAGAAATACACCAGTGACAAAAAGCTGACCTGGACATTCTCCCAGGCGGGCACCTCTCATTATATGCCAGCCTGCTCACCAGCGCAAGTTACTGGCACAAAACAAGGCAACATATTCTGCAGGTTTGCTCAGAGTCTGGGTGAAGCACAGGTCATTTTCCCAGAAGTATCGTTCTGCAGTACCATTCCTGCAACCTGCAAGTGAAATTTTAAAAAATATATCAAAATCTCAATTTGAAGCTGATTTTCTTATCTATGACCCTTTTCTTCTAAAAACCCCAAACCAGAAGGTAGCCACATGTGTGAAGTTCAGAGTTCCTGGATGGACAGTGTTTGCCCATCTCTGTTTCTCAGGCCATTGCTGGGCTCAGTGGAACGACTGTGTTGAGAGGCAGCTGCTTTGCACAGACCAGAGGGAGCTGGTGGTCCCGCCGTCCTGCCTGCCACCACCCATTCTGCAGTCACCCTGCACCTGGCCATCTGGAGAGACCAGGAGCTGGAGAAGCAGGAGGAGCAGTGCTTTTATGTGTCCGCCCCCCTGAAACTCAAGCCTCTAGTCAGGTGGGGCTGAGAGAGCGAACTCCTGCAGTGATGAATTCATTCATCATTCAGGCACCATTTACTGAGAACCAACCTCTGCCGGAAGCCGGTCCATCCTTGCTGCTTGACACAGTCGCTGCAGGAAAGAAACATCTGCACAGCATATGTTTCAAGGGACCTGGCGTATATAGCATACTGTTCTTAATATGTTTGCTCCCCTTAGCGCTGTGTGTTTTAACCAAGGTCACCTCTCCAAGAAAGGTTGTTTCCCCAGGTAGGGATTTTTCCCTGAAGTCAGGGAGGCGATGAAACTCCTTAACTAAGTGCCAGGCGGGTAAAGGGTTGTTTCCCCAGGTAGGAATTTTTCCCTGAAGTCAGGGATGGGATGCCTCTCCTAGAAAGGTTGTTTCCCCAGGTAGGAATTTTTCCCTGAAGTCAGGGAGGGGATGAAACTCCTTAACTAAGTGCCAGGCAGGTAGTTAATCACTTTAACTACAAACAATCACACTTAAACTACATAATCTTTACTCCCTCTTACGAATGCAGAAGTAAGGGGGTGGGGGTGGCGTTACTAGAAACCTCGAGGATCTGCAGCTTGCGAGAGGTGCCCCCCAACATGAGCTATGGTCTTGGCTGGAGGAACACAGCCTCTGCCAGCTGCAGCCCACCAGGGGAATTTGTAAGTAAATAAATACCTCAGCCTATGTCCTCTCACCCCCAAACACCAGCCAGTGCTTCCTATTGGCTAAGCCCAACAGGAAGCCAGAGGGTGCAGGAGCCCAGGTGATGCAGTCTACAGGGATCAGTCTTCTAGTACACAGAGCCCTGGAGTTGATGGACAGTGGGCTGCAGGGTAAACGGAGAATATCTGGCACATTCGTCCTAGGATAGACATGAAGACAGGAGTGGGGAGATCTAAAGAGCTGCTTTCAAGTTATAACTGAAAGGACCTGGGAATGGATTGTGTTGTGCCCAGATTTCAAGATTCCCAAGGGCCCACCAGGGAGCCAGCGAGTCCGATGAAAAAGCAAAGAGTCATTTATTTCAAACCTAGGTTTGGCTCCCCTGCCCCCCCCTTACTGGCACAGCAGCAAGTGGCAGAGAGAGAGAACTCTGTGTGGAGAGAGGCTTTATAGGGGGTTGGGGTAAGGGGAGGAGAAAGACTGTGGGCCCTGCCGATTGGCCAGGCGCAAGTCGGTGTCTTGTCACACAGGATGTGGTCATATCTATGGCGACTTCTCTTGATTGTCATTGGCCAGTTCAAAGAAGTTCTGGGTGTGGCCAGCAGTGGCTTGGCTTCCAGGAAGAAGCCTTGCTGAGCACATGGCCAAGGTAAGATGGAGGGCATAGCCCTTACTTACCCTGGGGCAAGGTGGAGGGCGTAGCTCTTACCCGGGGGCAAGGTGGAGGGCGTAAACCTCGCTCTTTCAGATTGAACATACAGCAAGTGCCAAAGTAAGTTATAACTGAAAGGACCTGGGAATGGATTGAACATACAGCAAGTGCCAAACTAATTCCCACTGGCTCAAGGGAGCCGGTATTATAGAGAAAGCCCAGGATTCAAATTAAGACATGTTGGTTCACATTCCATCCCCCTACTTAGGAGGATGTTACTGAAACAACTCATATATAAGCTCCCCAATCTGGTTTGCTGGTCTGTAGGGTACATTCCCCAAAGGAAAACCAGGGCATTGGTCAGAGAAAGAATGGATGCCTGTGAGCAAAAACAATGGGGAAACACTACTGCAGATGCTGTTGGTGCCCCAGCCCTGTGGCCAGTAACTGTGTAGCTTATGTGCTCCAGAGCTCCCTGTGGGATCAGGCTGAGGCTGGACACTCCCTGAGACCACTTTTTTGCCTAGTTTCATTCTCCACCCTATTCTGCTTTCTTCTCTCCCCTACTGGTTTTCCCTAAGGGCCCTCCCTCGATAAACCATCTGCAGGTGAATCCTCATCTGAGGCTGTGCTTCTAGGGAACCTGACCTAGGACATTACCCTGACCAGGTTGGAGACTACACATCCAGGCTGACCTCAGGAAGCACGCAGTGCCTGCTACTCATCCATCAGAATAAATCTGAAAGGCCTCCCAGGGTTAAAAACCAGGGCCCTGCTGAGGTCTAGTGGCCTGACTGTAAACTCAGGGGCTCTGGACTGCTCTCTTTCAGATCCAGCCCCTCCCAGCAGCCTGTAGACTCTGAGGATTTTGGCCAAGATCTCTAATCCTCCTCCAGAGCAACACATCCACGCTACTGCTCAACAGTTCCCTGCTGCAGGCCTGGGGCCAGGCCAGCCGCATCCAAGTCACAGGTGGGAAGGCCTCCCTCAGTCTCTTGTCTTGGATTCGGTCTGTTGCAGAAAAGGAGCCAAGAAAAACCCAGAAGCCTGAAATATGGAACATCAGGCTCTGGTGTGAATCCCACCGACCACCACTTTCTAGCTTGGAGGCTTTAAACAAGGGATTTAACCTCTCTGTGCCTCAGTTTCCACACATGTAAAGTAGGTGTGCTAAAATCACCTGCCTCCTAATTGTATGATGCACGGTACATGAGACAACACCAGCGGTGCAAGCAGATCATCCTGGGGTTGTGCAGCCTGCATGTCTTGCCAGGACAATTCAGCACTTTTTACTTAAAACAAGCCCAGTGCGCAGGGCAATGTAGATTCTCAAAAAGATAAATACTGAGGGTGAGAATTCATTTTCTGAATGGATTCCTTTGACTCAGTATTTCTCAAAGTGGCTCATAGACCACCCACACTGGGATAACCTGAGGTACTAATATAGAATGCACACCCCTGGGTTTACCCCAAACTTTCTGAATTAAGTCTAGGCCAAGGAATGAGTTTTATATATTTTTTAAATATATTTTATTGATTTTTTACAGAGAGGAAGGGAGAGAGATAGAGAGTTAGAAACATCGATGGGAGAGAAACATCGATCAGCTGCCTCCTGTACATCTCCTAATGGGGATGTGCCTGCAACCAAGGTACATGGTGTAGCGGGCCAAGAGCAGACTCTGGAAGGAGACAGACTGACTTCAAATCCTGCCTCTGTTGCTTAACACGCACCTCCCGCACAGAGTTAGTTGTCTAAAGATGAAAAGGGTTCAGATAAGTCAAGTGTTAGAAGCTTTATAAGTGCTTACCCTTTGTTCCCTCAATTAATGGCGTCTCATCATGGTCTCTGCCTCACTCCTCCACCCTCTCAGTCCCTGCTGAAGGTCCCACACTGGCCTCATGACAGTAACCAAAGGTGGCATATGGAGACAGGTCTCTCTCCTTTCTCTCTCCTCTCTCTTCTCTTTCTACTCTCTCTTCTCTTTGTCCTCTCTCTCTCCTCCCTTTCCTCCTTCTTTCCTCTCTCTCCTTTCTAGATACTCCTGCGTTCTTTTCCAGGCGGCCACAGTGCCTCAGCTGCTCAAAGTTGTGAAGCCAGGACGCCCTCCTGCTGGGGAGACTGCCCACGGGCCTTCCAGCCACACTGGCCACCCCCTCCATTTTCGTGTACACCAATAGGTAACCAACTGCACTGCAGGTCCCCAAGAAAGCCCGTCCCCTGACCTGGCTCATTCCACACCCACATCCCAAGACCCTGTGGCAGGCAGAGCCCAGGAGACCAGCCTTGGAAGTGGGAGAAGTGACAGGACCTAGAAGTGGGAAGGACTTCTCACTGAGAGATGGTCCCGGTGTTGGGTTGCCCTCTTGGATCCCAGAACAGTTTCCCGAAGCAGTATCCTGGTCACACACAAGGTCAAAGGTTATAAAGATGGGGCTGGGAGCCCATAACATCAGAAGTCAAGTGGATAGGGAAGATAAGCCTCAAGAAATGTCCACATCACAGCTCACTTATCCACTCAATAAAATATGTATTGACCACCAGCATGTTCCAGACTGCTTTAGGCACTGGGGGTACAGCAGTAAATGAAGCTGGCTAAAGCCCTGTCCTCATGGAGCTCCAACCTAGTGCAGGGGTATTGGCTGCCTTTTATGCTGCTGCTACTGACACAAACATGCAGAACCATATAAGGGGATTGAAACAGAGCAGCCTATTCTGATGGTAACGCAGGCCTCAGCTCTTCCTCTGACACAGGCTCTCTCCTCTCTCCTGGCACCTCTGCTCTCACCTTAAGGCCAGAATTCAGCCCCGGAGCTGGCAAGACTCCTCTGTGCACATTGCCGCTGCCAACTCTGCGACCTTCACCCTGCCTGCTGCCTCCTCCCTTGGCTTCATGCAGGACTGTCAGGAGCCCATGGACATACGGGTAACAACAGTAATAACCTGCTTGGGAACAGCCCTTTAGAGTTTGTAAAGCACTTTCACAACATCTGCTCAGTTATGTTGCTTGATCACAGTCCTGTCAATTACTCAGTATTATGATACCCATTTTACAGATGAGATTCAATGACTTGCCCAAGGCCACGAGCAAAGTGGGAGAGCTGGGATTCAGACCCAGGCCTTCTGACCCCCAAATCCAACTTTTTCCACTATGTTCTGGAATTTTCCAGCAGCCTTGTTTCAATTTGTCATTGGAAATGAAGCTCTTCTAACTTCATTCCATAACTAGGAAATGGCAAACCAGGGCTCTTTTCCATTTCCAAATTAGCGTGTACCTGACTCTTTGCTCCTTGAGCCCCATTGAAAGCAAACAAACTTCTTTCTCTCAGAGACGTGTTAGCTTTGCTAGAAGAAACTATTGTACAGCCTAGTAACTGCTCAGCTATAGCCAATCTGGTTGGGTTGCCTATGCCCAGCTTTCTGAGTCTATAGCGCTAAAGGGTAGACACACACTAGGAAAAACAGCAGCAGCTAAAGGCAGGGAGCCCATTTACCCCTAAGAGTGAGGGCCCCTTGTCCATCCCATCTTAAGATACCTCATAATTTCCATAGGGACCTTGTCACCTTACAGCCTTTGGGGTTCTGGGCCAACACTCCTTGTTCTTGGTTCCAGATGATGAGTTTCCCAAAAAGCCCTTTCCCAGCCCAAAATCACTTTGATGTCAGCGGAACTGTTGGGGGCCTCTCTCTGACCAGCTCTAGTGGACAGCTCATACCATGAAGAATCTGTTGGAGAATATCAAGGTAGACATTCGGTGTGCTGTCAGAAGTCAGGTGGTACTTCTGCCTTTTTCAACTTGGTTGGGACTAAAAGTTGTTTGGCTATGGAAAAAAATATATTAAAGAGGATAATCATTAAAAGTGATCCTTACCTTGCCCGGCCAGTGTGGCTCAGTGGTTGAGTGTTGACCCATGAACCAGGAGGTCACATGTTCTATTGATGACAAGAAATTGAGGTTCAGAGTGGTTTGTTGATTGGTTGGAGGTCCTAGAGCTGATATAGGGCAAACCTCTCTGCCTCTCTGCCTGTGCTCCTAACTTGATCAACACTTTCACCAACACTACCACTAGTTCACAGGGCACCTTCGTGCAAATTACAAAATGTCTCTGCTCTTTCTGTGCAGCCGCAACCCTGAGCTGGGGTGCAGAGCTTCATGGCCATGGCAAGCTGAATAAAGACCCCAAGATGTCCATGTTCTCATCCCTGAGCCTGTGAATATGTCACCTAACATAGTGAAAGGGACTTTTGCAGATGTGACTTAAGTTGAAGATCTTAAGATGATCCTGGATTATCTGGATGGGCCCAATGTTATCACAGGTCCTTATAAAAGGGAGGCAGAGGGGGAGATGACTACAGAAAAAGAAAAGGCAATTTGATTACAGAAGCAAGAAGGCAGGTGATGGGAGGAAGGAGCTATGAGTCAAGGGTTGTAGGAAGCCTGCAGAAGTGGGAAAAGGCAAATAAGTGGGTTCTCCCAGAGAGCCTCTGGAAGGAACCAGCCCCGCCAACGTTCGCTCTATGAAATGGATTTTGGACTTCTGGCCTCCAGAACTAGAAGATAACGAATTTGTGTTGTCTTAAGCCACCAGGTTTGTGGTCATTTGTTATAGCAGCTCTAGGAAACTAATCGAACAAGCAAAGCACAGAGTGGATTATAGTTCCCCCAGTGCTCACCCTGCCCAGCTCTGCCCAGCAGCCCTGATGTTCACTGGCATTCCCACCCTGGCTCACCCCTGATTTGGTTGTTTCTGATGACAGATCCTGCTGCCTCGGTTTTCAGAAGGACACAGTGAGCCAACCGTGTTGAATCTGACCAGTTCTGAAGCTCTGCAGGTGAATTTGACTTCAGGGGTACAGCTCTGGGGACCCAGCTGCACTGGAGACCTGACATCCCACTCACACTCAGCCTAGGTATGGCTACCACCCCAACAAGACCAGCTATGACGCCAAAGCTCACTTTCCACTAGTGACTTCTCCAGGTAGTCACATCATCAGACCAGTTTCTCAAGCTGCTTCCTGGGAGTGTGAGAAGCTCAAAACTTGAGCATCAGAAGCCAAAGGGAAAAAAGAAAAAGAAAAACAAAACACTTGCTATATTAGGTGAGTACTTACTATATGCCCTGATAAGCACTCACAGAACTGACCTCATTGCAATCCTCATAACCCTCAGGAATGGGAACTTTCCAGATAAGAGCAGAGAGGTTAAGCAACTGGTCCAAAGTCACACATTCAAGAAGGACAGAGTCAGAATTTGAACCCTCGTCTGTTTGACTTGGCAGCCATGCTCTGCACACTAACTGGGAGTGCCTCATTTAAGCTCCTGATTTCAGGAGGAGAGGGTACTGCTAGCACATTGGGGAGACCATCAGGGTCAGCTTTCCTGGCAAATTATCTCAGTCCCCCTTTTCTATGATGTTAGCCAAGTCTCCATAAGGCTTCAGGCTGACCTTAAGCCCCATTTCCTGCAGATGGGCTGTCCACATGGAAACTGAGCCCAGAGGTCCTGCACTTTGGAGAAGGTGTCTACTATCTGACTGTGATCCCCGAGTCTGATCTGGAGCAGACCCCTGGCAGAGACCTCACAGTTGGCATCACCACCTTCCTTTCCCATTGTGTGTTTGGGGATGAGATCCAGGAAACTGGGGACAATTCTGGGTGCCAGGTAAGAGGAGGAAGTGAAGAAGACAGAACAGCTTGGTGGGGTGTGTCCTGCTCCTTTAGGGTCCTATTTTAGTGCCTCTGGTATGCCATCAGCTCCTCCTTGGGGTCTTTGCACATGTGTCTCAGAATGTGCCCCCAGACCCCATTCAGTGAGGTTAACTCCTCCATCACATTCCACCTGAAATGTCACTTCCTCCAGGAACTTCTCAATGCCCTGGTTAGCTCAGATTTCCTACTGTGAACACTCAGAGCACAGAGGCCCATCTCCTCCATGGACTAAGCAGAATAGTAGTTCACATCCACTCAGATCACTGAACAATGTCTGTACCCTCAGTGCACTGGGAGTCACATGAGACAGGAACAATGTGCTTTGCTCACTGTTAGGAACAAATGACCACTGAACAAATGGACAAATGGCTGGGAAGCCCTGCTGACCCGGTTGCGGAGAGAGGCCAGAGTGTCATGTCCAAGGAGTCCTCTATGCCATGGTGCTGTGTTCCATGCTTTCTTGTATTATCTCATCAAATCTTCACAATAATCCTCTAAGGTAGTTGGTATTCACATTCTACAGATGGTAAAACAAAGGCTCAGGAAATTCAACAAAGGCTCAAGGAGACCTGGGATGAGTCACCCCGCCTCTTTGAGCTTTCCCATCTGGAAATGAGCACAAAGATACTTGTAGTTGTAGCCCTGAATCTCTCACCTAGTAGGTAGAAGAGCTGGGACTCAAACTCAGGTCTGTCTGCCTCCAGAGAATAAGCCTTAGTGATATGAGGCACTGTTTCTCCGGAGCCCCGCCCAGTCTCACTGAGCCCCTGGGATGGCATGTGGCGCTATTAACTGAAATTAAATCCCTGTCTCGTGTCAGTTCAGCTCTGCTCCCTAGGAGGCAAATGTGCTGGTAGCAGCTATTGGCTTTGATGCCATCAGAAGCCATTGCTGTGGTATCAGCATCCCCCACCCCGCTTCTATGCTATTGTATATGCTGTTCTCTTCCCTGGAATGCCCTTCTTACCTATCATACCTATTCACCCTTCAATCTCCCACTCCACTGCCACTTTCTTCAAGGGGCTTCTCAGATATCTGGAGTCTCCCTCTGTTGGATTTCCACAGCACTTCATAGCCTCCCCAAGAATAGCAGCCTCCATTTCTAGCTCAAATTTATCACACATCTGTCTCCACCTAGAGACCATAAATGCCTTATTTCATTTATTCTACAAATAGCTACCATGTGCCTGGCCAACTGGTGGGGATATAATGGTGAGAAAAACCAGTGAGCTTTCAGTTTAGCAGAGGACACAGACAAGAAACTGATGTCACATGCCATGTCAAATTACACCGGTTACAAGTAGTGTAAGAAGTCAGGTTGCAACAGAGTCACAGAAGGGGACTCAGAGCAAGCTCCTTCCAGGTCTGTTTCTGCTGCCATGTCAACTCCTGCCCTGGCTTCCAGCTGCCACACATGGGGAGCTCCCAGAGCACCAGGAAGAGATGAGAGGACACTGAGATGTCCGAGGCACAGCAGGTTCCCCCACTTGCAACACAGGCCTCTGTTCCTTATAAACAATACACTGGTTGTGTTGTGACCTCCTAGAGTCCTTGCTCCCAGGGGCTGTTTGATCCCCATGTTGCTGGCACAGAGTGCCCACTACAGGCTGCCCTCAGATGCCCGAGGCTCAGAATGTGTAGGGGCTGGCAGCAAGGGCTCCACCACTAGACAGACTTGGGTCCAATCCCACTTCATCAGTTCTAGCAAGGTGACCTGGGACGAGTCACCCCGCCCCTTTGAGTTTTCCCATTTGGAAATGAGCACAAAGATACTTGTAATTGGAGGCAGGAACCTAGATGAGATTAGGGGTATAAAGTACTTAAGTGTGGTGTCTGGCACACAGTGAGTGCTCCATAGATTAAAGAGATGGCTATGTTAGCCAATCTGAACATAGAGAAGAGAAAACTGTACATAAAATAGAAATCAAGGAGACAATGAACATGGGATTCAGCATGGTGGTTGGGTGGGGAGAAGCATGAGAACAGGCTTGGAAAGGACCACTTCGCTAAAAGTAAGTTATTGGGCAGTTCCTAGCTTTTGAGTTGTGGGTTTTTGGGTGCTTATTATGTTATTAAAAATATACAATGGTGGTTGGGTGGGGAGAAGCATGAGAACAGGTTTGGAAAGGACCACTTCGCCAAAAGTAAGTTATTGGGCAGTTCATAGCTTTTGAGTTGTGGGTTCTTGGGTGCTTATTATGTTATTAAAAATATATTAAAAATATATACTTACTGCCCTAGCTGGTTTGGCTCAGAGCCAAACCAGCCTGCCGACTGAAGGGTCCCAGGTTCGATTCTGGTCAAGAGCACATGCCTGGGTTTCAGGTTTGATCCCTAGTGTGAGCGTGTAGGAGGCAGCCGACGAATGATTCTCTCTCATCGTTAATGTTTTTATCTCTCTCTTTCTCCCTTCCTCTCTGAAATCAATAAAATACGTATATATATTTACTAACGCATACGCCTCTCTTTCTCCCTTCCTCTCTGAAATCAATACACACACACAGAGACGCATACATACATGAATGTGGATGTACAAAGGTCATATGTGAAGGTGTGTCACAGACCAAAAGTACCCAATATTGTGCACTTGCTGCTAATTATAGATAGATGTAAATACAGATACAGATATATATAGGTCATTGAGGACCATAAATAAGTAAATGCGATCATTCCCTTCCTCTCTGAAATCAATACACACACACAGAGACGCATACATACATGAATGTGGATGTACAAAGGTCATATGTGAAGGTGTGTCACAGACCAAAAGTACCCAATATTGTGCACTTGCTGCTAATTATAGATAGATGTAAATACAGATACAGATATATATAGGTCATTGAGGACCATAAATAAGTAAATGCGATCATCAAGTTTGCATGGAAAACCACCAATGAATCCTCTACATAGCTAAAGGAGGTTCCAAATCTATGGACTACAGACCTTATCACGGGGTAAAGGTAGAAATATTGCAAGGGGTCTGAGAGCCATACTAAAGGCACAACTACTGTTGCAAGAGGATGCACAGATTAATTTCAAATTTTCAACGAGGTCCTCATGCTGGAAAAGGTTGAGAAAGCGGCTTTTCCTTCCTTTCCCCGGGAGTCTTATGAAAACCCAGAACGGCAAAGATCTTAGACATAAATCAGATCTGGTCCCAGGGCTCTCAGCACTGAGATGGTCTTGTTACTGGCAACTGCTTGGGTTTCTTTGAAACTAGCCCCACCCGTTCCAGGTGTGCCAAGTGTTCCCACAAGCCCCACAGCTGTATGCCAAATGCACTGGCCAGAATTGGGAAACAGTGAGAAAAACAACAGAGCACACAAGGGACTAAGACCCATGTGAAATCCATCAATGAACAGTTGGTGCCATGCCTTTGCTGGGTGGCTCATTTAAGGGAAAGGGAACATGTTTGGGATATGGCAGATTCTTCCTTACCAGGCATTAAGCAGAGTACTTTCCGCATGCCAGTGTTTTCTGCTTCCTCCTACCTTCACCTTGTGGTGGACCCTGAAATGAAAAGGTGGTTCTGGGTTGTGGGGTTGAATTAAATCCTCTTTGCCCACCAAACGGCCCAGGGGGGAGAATTCAAAGAGGCCAAGGGCTTTAGGGAAGGCCTGCTTCTAAGTGCAGGGTATACATTAAGAGCATAGCTAAGGTCCCTGCCCTCGCCCATTCCTGTCTCCCTGTCCCCAACCTCATTGTCCCATACCACACGGGACAGCGTGCCAAGCTCCATCCACATGCCCCGCCCACTCAAGCTGATGATCCTGAGGAATAGGTCAATGTGGGTCCTAGAAGCAGGGAATTCTGAGGCTCCAGGTCCACAAGCCTCAGTTTAAAAGTGAAAGGGTAGGATAAGTCAAGTGAGGCACCAGGAGAGCAAAATTTAGGTAGGACTCATTCTCAGGGTCACCCAAGGCCTTTTCCTAGTCCTAGCTGGGTGGTATGTGCTGTGGTGGGAGTGTCTCCTCAGCCCCAATGCCTCGTCCTGTGTAGAGGGGCACAGCCCAAGGACAGCTAGAGTGGGACCCTTCTAAGGAGAAGCCCAGGACAAGGGCTCCAGGTGCCTATAGCTCAGGAGGGGGGTCAAGTTTAGGGAATACTTTCCTGTGCTGAGACACCAGCTTAGAATGAAATATTTGCCCTCCCCTTTTCCTAGCACGGTTCCCCCAGTCTTGGTCTTCCTTTGCTGCTCAGTGTAAGATGACCAACTTAAGACGTTCAGTTTGAAAAGCAGGAAAATCCCTAGCAAACTGAGATGCATTGGTCATCTTGGATGTCCTCTCAGCACCTAGCCCATTGCCTGGCCTAGATTTAGCATTTGACAAATATCTGTACAATGAATGAGCATCAGGTGAGAGAATGGACTGGAATGATGCACACCCAAGTGTGATAATGGTTGTTTGTGGAGGGTGAGGGACAGGGGGGACTTTAGCTTGCCCTGCAATACTTATCTAAAAAAGGCAAAGCAGATCGACAAGGTGGACAGTTGCCCATTGATAGGGATGGATGCAAAGATATTAGTTAAAGGTAAGACTCTCCTCATTTTAAAATTATTTTTTAATTAAAATTTTAAAAACCCAAACAGAATCCTGACCTGGTCTCCCAACAGGCTCCCCAGCCCCTTCCCCAGGACAGTGTCCACTTCTCATCGCTCTCCCTTGGGCTCGAGCCATTCAGGGATGTACTCGCATTGCCACCAGGGCCTCTTTGTGGTTGCAGGTGGGGCCACGAACCACTCCCTTCCAGACACACTACCTCTGCAACCATCTTACCTTCTTTGGAAGCACATTCTTGGTGATGCCCAATGCTATTGATGTCTGCCATACCAGAGAGCTCTTTGCCACCTTTGAGGACAATCCTGTGGTTGTGACTACCGTGGACTGTCTCATCGTGGCCTATGTATTGGTGGTGATCTGGGCAAGGAGGAAGGATGCTCAGGATCAGGCCAAGGTGAGATTGTATGGTCCTGGGGAATGGGAGGGAGAAGAGGTGTGAGCCCTTGCAGGAGCTCCAGAGAATGGAGCCCAGATGGGAAGCCAAGAGGCTAGATGCAAATCTAGGCCATGGCTCCTGTAATCATCTCAGGCAAGCCAGTCCCCGGCCTCTTTATCTGTAAAAATGTTCTTTTTCATAAAATTATCACAAGGATTATGATACTGATCATTTATTAAGGATTTACTATATGCTAGGCATTACCCCATTTAATACTCACAATAGCCCTAAGAAGAAGGTACTGTCTTGAGGGTCCCCAAGACCACCCTCAGATTCAATGATTTGCTAGTAGGACTCACAGAACCTCAGAAAAGCTGTTATACTCATGATTATGGTTTATCACAGTGAAAGGATACAGATTAAAACCAGTAAAGGGAAGGGTCCATGGGAGATCAGGCGAGAGCTTCCAGTTGCCCTCTCCCAATGGAATTGTACAGGACAATGATGTGTGACAATATGTGCAAAGTATTGCCATCAAGAAAAGCTCACCTAAACTTTGGTGTCTAGGGTTTAATTGGGGGTCAGTCACATAGGTATGGAGTGCGCACATGACTGACTTTCCTTACATCGTCTCCAACAGTCTGACCCTGCCCAGGGTCAAATTGATACAGCATGGCTAAAAGCCCGCACCGTAAATCACATTGTTAGCATAGACTACCTGCTGTGGCCCATGACCCCAGGTATTGAAAGACACACTTATAATACTGGATCTTCTGGGGAGTTATAGATTATTCTTCAGGATCTGGACAAAAGCCAGTCCTTTCTTTGAAATGTGCAGGGTTTGGACAACCCAAACTTGCTGAGTTCACCCTTTACTGCACAATACCTCTATCATCTTACAGAGGAGGCAACCAAAGATCAGAGAGCACAATTAACTGGTCAAGAGCTACCCTCCCGGGAGGCAGAATCCAAACCTTGAACTCGGATAATAAATCAGGTCTGAGGATAGAAACAAGATCAAACAACAAATTGTGCAACAAATTACAACAAAGTTCTGATTATTTTTCCAGTATATGCTCCATGTCTGACACATAGTGAGCCTCCAAGAAATACCTGTGAGTGAGTGAGCACATAAATGAACACTAGTATGCAGGTGCAAAGCTCTGAAACATTTCCATTCTCTGCCCTCTCCCCACATAGCAACACCTCTTGGATGTTAAGATGATATGGCACTTAAGATAAATAGCTGCAGCGTTTATACTGCTGTCTTTGATTCATTCAAAGGATTAAATATTAATACTTTAAGTGCTTAGCTGTAGGTTGATTCCCACAAGGCAGAGTCTGAGATGGAGTTTAGCATGCAGGGTGTTTATCAAGCAATGCCCAGGATCAGCCCATGGGAAGGCAGGGAAGGAGAGAGGATGAGTAGAGGGAGAAGCTGAGCTGAAATTCAGCCCACTGACTGCACTGCTGACCCAGAGAGAACTCCAGAGCTCTCCAGAATTGGGTTGAGATGCCCAAGTCTTGATCACACCTGGGCACCTCATCAACTTGCCATTGGATGCTGGCCTCCCCAGGAGATGCATGACCTCAACAGAGGTGGTTCTTGTATCCCTGACAACAGCACCTCAGCAACTGGGGCAACATGCCCTCCCTTGACAGATCTGAGCAACTCATCACAGCTTTTGAAAATATTTTTTATTTTTTGCTTAACCACCTTAACATTCATTCCTTTTAAAATCCTTCAAAGGCACAATATGGTTATCAAGTGCTACAACAAATTATATATAAACAGAGTTTGTATCACTCACCAGATTAAACATTCTCCGCTTAATAATACCAAGTTCATTTCCTGACTACTTTGGGTCATACTTAATAACAAATGCATTTTGTACTTTTTCTTTTAAAAGTGTTTGTTTTTCCCTGTTCTCACCTGATGGAGTAAGTAAATAGCATACATCATTTTGCTTCCTCCCTCTAATTGTCTCTGTTGGCTGCCGTGAAGTGGAAAAACCCACTGAGCAGAGCCCTCCTGACTTAATCCTTCTGTCCAGGTGAAGGTCACAGTGCTGGAGGACAATGATCCCTTTGCCCAGTACCACTACCTGGTGACAGTCTACACTGGACATCGGAGAGGGGCAGCTACTTCCTCAAAGGTACCTGACTATTCAAGGTGGCTCAGTCAATCAGCATGTGCCGCTCAGCGAAGTGCTTGCCAGTCCATTTTTGGGTTATTTTAGCAGAGTGGATTTGGCGCTGTAGAGTGTATGTTTCTTGTTGCTGTTTTTTTTTTATCTCTTGCTTTTTGTTTTTTATAGAAAACTTTTTGTCAAATAAAATATCACCCCAAGTCCTAATATTTAAAAAGAAAAAGGAGTTGGTTAATGGAGAGTTAGAGTCTAGCATAGTGCCACTGGTCATCTCTCTTATCCCTATCAAGGAATAACTCAGTTAGTTGGTTATCTGCATGCAAATTTGCTCACATATGAAGAACAGTCAATAAAATGATCAATGAATACAGGGAAAAGAGAATTTATAAGAGAGAGGGGAGAAAGTTAAGAGAAAAAATGCCCACCATTTGAAAACAATGAGTCTTAAATTATATTTTTTAGGTAAACTGATTAGCTGGCATCTAGCTAAGAGGTCAAACTGAGCCTTGAGGTCCTTGAACAGGCTGACTGAAGGTAGTAAAGAAACTATTTCACTTATTTATGGATTCTCTGGAATCCTTGAACATTTAGCTATGGGGCATACAGCAGGTTGTCTCTGTGATGACTCAGCATCTTTAGTTAAGTCTGTCCTCCCTACACCATATCCCTCATCAGATACATTATCCCTTGCAGCAGCCTCCAAGGTTCCTTTACCAAAACTGAGGGCTCCAAGGAACACAGGTTGAGAACCACTGGCATTTTTAGTCTGTCCTTATTTTACCAAAATTGACACTAGGCTTCATTAGTGTAGGGCATTTATCTGTTTACTTTTTATTTTTTAACCTTATTATTTATTTTTATTTTTTAAAAATTGTTTTATTTTTATTTATTGCTGTGTCTTAGGTCTTCAACCAGCTGTCTAAAACAGAGTAAGTGCTCAATAACTATCTGTTCAATTAATGTAGGATTCAAAACAAAAAGTAGGATTCAATTTTATCCATCTCATGAAATAACCATCTCATTTCCGTTTGACACTGAAGAGTCCTTAACAGGAAGTAAAACCTGTGATGCACAGGCCATTTCTCTTCGTGGAGAGCTGCAGTCGCATTTCAGTCTGATACAGTTTTAGTCTGACTTCCCCTAGCACAGAAAATTAGCCATGCCCATCAGCATCACCTGGATAGCTTTAGGAAAACACAGATTCCTGGGCCCTATCCCTAAATATTCCTACTTGGTAGGTATGCAGCAAGGCCTGGTTATTTTCAACATAGGGGGCACTCATTCATTCATGTCTCAATGCCAGGCCCTCTGGGAGACACTGGGAATATAACTGTTAGGGGGGGGAACCAGCTCCTGCTCTACAGCCCTTACAAATAAGTATATGGGAAGTTTAAAAAGGCCACCGGACATGAATACAGACAGTATCAACCCAAATCTTCATACAACTAAAAAATAACCAGGCAGGTCCAACATGGGAGGAGAAGAGAGGATGAAAGGGTCATGCTTGCTGGTTTTCCTAGTGTTTGTTTGTTTTTTACATTTCCAGTGAAATACTGTCAGTGGGGCTTGGTTACCATGTGAAGCTGGCCAGTCTGGTCTCTGGATTTCAGGTGACTATAACTCTATATGGCCCGGATGGAGAGAGTGAGCCCCACCACCTGTCAGACCCTGACATTCCAGTTTTTGAACGAGGAGGAGTGAATGTCTTCTTACTCTCCACCCTGTTCCCCCTGGGGGGAACTGAGGAGCCTGCGGCTGTGGCATGACAACTCAGGGGATTGGCCATCCTGATGAGTAGGGGTTGAGCAAACCACAAGAACCTACTAAGCCCTAGGCCAGGGCTGGGCACTGTGCACTTGCTGCCTTGCTGATCCTCACAGCCTCTGAAAGACACATGGAATGGATTCCTATTTCACAAATAAGGAAAGAGGGTAGAAAGGACCACCAGAAGATAAACAACCCAATCAAAAAATGGGCAAAGGGCCTAAATAGACACTTTCCGAAAGAGGACATACAAAAGGACAAAAGACATATGAAAACATGCTCAAAGTCATTAATCATCTGAGAGATGCAAATCAAAATGACAATGAGGTATCACTTCAAACCTGTTACAGTGGCTATCATCAACAAATTAACAAATGACAAGTGTGGGCAAGGATGCGGAGAAAAGGGAACCAACCCTCATGGGAATGCAGACTAGTATGGTCACTATGGAAAACAGTATGGAAATTCCTCAAAAAATTAAAAATGGATCTCCCATTTGACTCAGTAATTCACCTTCAAGGAATATATCCCCCCAAAACAGAAACACCATTCAGAAAGGACATATGCACTCCTATATTCATAGCAGCACAATTTACAATAGCTAAGATTTGGAAACAGCCTAAGTGCCTATCAACAGATGAGTGGATTAAAAAAACTGATACATCTACACAATGGAAGACTATGCTGTTGTAAAAAAGAAGGAACTTCTATCATTTGCAACAGAATGGATG